TTTTTATTAGTTTTAATATTGGAAATTATGGATGGTTGTTTTAAGTATTAATATAATATTTTCTAGAATTATTATTAATTAATTACTAATAACTTTCTATCCAAAAATTGATCATGTTATGATTAAAAAAATTTGATGATAAATGATAATACAAGATATGTAAAAAATATATATTTTAATAAAAGAAAATTATTTTTGTATGTCTTATTTACGTTTGCTATTCCAGTTTAATTATTATTCAGCAATAAAATTAACATTATAATTATAAAGAAAATATGTGAAATAATTTTTTATTTTTTTAAATAAAATAAATTGTTTTTGTTTCCTTTTTTACTGATTTTACTGCCATTTTTTTTATAAATAAATGTGATTAATATTGAGTATTTTAGATAATTGTCGAATAAATCGAAATTAATAATAGCCTTTTTTTTATTAATATTATTTTAATTTTTCCGTGATTTTTTGTGTAGATTTTGGCGTATTTAATTGAGGGCCGGCGGTCCAACGGGCGGCGACGCACGGCCAGCCGCACCGGGGCGGCGTCGGTGCAGTATCGCAAGCTGAAGACGGCCGACGAGGATTAGGTTCGGTCTGGCGTGTATTTTGCGTGTGATTTATCTTGTTTTCGCGGAATAATGATTTCTCCTGTTTTTTTTTTAAATAAAATTAAATATGCACTGCTTTCTCGTGCCGGTTGTCATTTAATTTGTTTTTTGTTTGTCGATATTTGGCGCTTGAATTTAATTGTTAATATTCGTCTGCATCTGCACATTGTCGGTGTGTATCCATTTTTAAATAGCGGCGCTTTAACTGTGATCCGATTTCCCGTTTAATGTTTTGCCATATAATCGAATTAATCGCGGATTTATTGTTCTCATTTTTCCCCGTGTTTTTGTCAACTTCATGCTGCATATTAAACGTGGTGTCTTGCAGGTCGGTCGATGTACTAGTATTTATTTGATTTTTAATAGACTGTACAATTTTGTAGCGTCATTGTATTTTTTATTTATTTTTGTAAATATTAATTTTTGTGTGGCAGAAATTATTATAACTAAATTACTAAACCAAAAAATTTTTAATTTTTTTTATTCTTTTACTGTATAATTGATTGCATAATTTATCTTAGTTTTATTTGGCGTAAGTAATTTATTACATATTTTCGTTTTAAATTGATTTTATTCAACCGAAGTATTTTCTGACGTAATTTTCGTTGATACGGAGTTTCATCTGCCCGAATTAATTTACAAAGTAGTTTTAACTTATAGTAATTTTAGTCAGCCGAAATAATTTATTATGCGTTGTTAGCTGATAATAAAAAATTCAGGTATAAATAAAAAAATATAAAATAAAAAAAGGAATTATAATATAAAATAAATATACAAATAATATTATTCAAAAATTATTTTTACACATTCAGTTCATCTACAGCACTCTTACTTTTAATTATTGATATATAATATGTATTATTTTGACCACGTAAAATGTGAATTTCCTGTGTATTTTTCGCTGAACATAATTTCCTTTTTTTTCCTACGTTAATCATCATCCGCGGATCGGCAGTTAATTACTTTTTATTACAATAGAAATACACCAAATAATCTGTGAGGGAACATCATCCATTAGCCGGCATTTCAACCCACTCTTGCATGCAAAACAAGCACTTTTCCCACCGCATATACTATACAGCAAATCTCTCTCTTCTCTGGACAAGTGAGCACCGCATTGTCTGGCCGCATATATACGAGTCGCTCATGTATAAAACAACAGCGCACCTGTTAAATAGCCTAAACTGACCGCGACCACGACAGGTGACACGGACGACTGCACCGCTGTATTATACACCGGGATGTCTTCCTCGTAATCCCGCTCGTCGTCGTCCGCGGGCGGTGGGGCTGGCGTCAGCCGGTGCGCATTATTATTATTATTATTATTATTATGATTAGTGTCGAGCGCGTAATGCACGTTTTCCCCGGTGACCGCCAGCGCGATGAGCCGGCGGAAGGGGCGGGGCTTCCGTTCGTCCGCGGTGTGGGACGTTCGGACCGCCGCCCGGCTGCGGCTGAGCTGCCAGGCCAGGTCGAGGAGCGCGCGGGCGTCCTGCAGCTGCCAGCGCTGCTCGCCGCTCTCCTTATCGGCGTCGGCATCGTCGGCTGACGAAATGTCCTTATCTGCAACAGCCGGATTAAGCAATGCGGCCACTTGAAAGTTTCAAATTTCCCTCGGATAATCGGCCACTTGTTTTGACTATTCACCGATGCCGTTAAATGCGGCATTTTAGACGGTTTAACCTACATTCACGTGAGGTCAAGTTCGACAATAAAACACCGGCGTTCGTAAATTTTTCTAATCAAAGAAGAAACACAAACCATATTAATACCAGCAGAATATTATAAACCATAATACCAGTAGAACAGAAAACAACTGACTAATTATTCCACAACTGGGCGAATTAAGAAATTATTTTAATAAAGCTGGCTAAGAAGAATTGGTTGAATTTTAAAGCAAAATAAATTATTTCAATAATTAACAATAGTTTAACAATATAAATTTAGTCCAGAATTTTACCGCAATAAAGTTTTCGATAGATTTATCGAAATGTATCATGTCCAAAATATAACAAAATAATATATTCACACAAATGAAAAGATAAATTATTTTAAAATTTAACGAGAAAATTATGATATTATTGTGATGCAGTAAGTCAAATATTCCATTAAATAAGTGAAAAAATAAATTTACTTCCCGAAGTACAATGAAAAAATTCTTTCTATAATTATAAAAACATACTTCACTTTCACGTCCGAAAAAAATAATTCCATGCCATGAACTGTTCTCGTAATTCCACGAAAATATATTATTCCCCTATTTCGATAAATATTTCTAAATATCTTTCAACATTTCCTGCGCCACCCGTCCGGCTTACCGCTCTGCAGATGATTCTCCGTGACCCAGCGCTCCTCCTCCCCATCCCGTCCATAACACAACCGCGCCGTATTCCTTTTTTCCCTCAAACACACCTCCTCATCCTCCTCTTCACACCGGCATCCGCGCAGTCCCACCGCCTGCTCCTGCCGCTGCAGGACTTCCAAGCTATTCCGGCATTTCTGACTACACCCCTGGCCCTTCAACATCCGCCGGCACAACCGGATAAAATACTCCCACGCCGTGCGGCACACCGCGTCGGCCCGGCACACCCTCTCCGCGGTGGCGCAGGACACCGTCGCGTTGCTGCGGAGCGCCTGCGCCACCTCCGCCGCGCAGCCGGCTCCCTCGAGGCGCTCCCGGAAGAGCAGGCACCCGGCGTCCTCGCAGCGGCACCGGCGGAATGCCGCGCCGAGCCGGTTGCCGAGTAAACCGATTAATCCGTCGCGACACCCGGGGAACAGTCACCGAGGGTGTCGGCGCACTCACTGCTGACGGTTAATAAATGTTCCCGGCAGTGGTCATCGGCGATGCAGTGCTCTTTCACGGCAGTACAACTCTCCAGGATCTCCTCATCCGCCGCGATTAAACCGGCGCAAATTATCAACAGGAATATTCTCTCCATCATTAAATAAATAAATTGATAACTCCGCAAAGACACGAAAATTATTGCAAAAAATGGGTATTTAATCCGCGAGGAATATTAACGGGTTTTGCTGGTTGGAAAGACGATCAAACTGGCTCATTTAGAGAAAGTAAACGTCGTCAAAAAAGTGTAATTATCAACCAAATACAACCGCGAATAATTTTAAAATTCCGTAAAAATCCCACAATTATTATTTAACGCGCGGTTGCAATATCAACATCACTAACGGCTGCAGCGGGATGAAAAGACGACCAAACTGGCTCATTTAGAGGAAGTAAACGTTGGCCACAATGGAGAATAGCAACAGGTTTATAGCGACACGTTGCCGATGATAATATAACCACACAAATAATCTCGACACACGGCGCAGTGGAGCGTCTCAACTGACCAGCTGCTCCTTCGCGAATTGTGTTCCGGCATATGTAGAAACAAAATATATAAACCTTAACTACACGTGCAGACAGCAGCTCATAAAGTTCGCAGCGGGACGCTAAGGAGTTGTCCGGTAAGACGGTTAATCAGGCGCAGAAAGGCGCTGATTGGTTGGAGGGGGCGGGGACTGCGCCCGCTGACCAGTGGTCAAGCGGCGTACACGTATCAAGCGGATTAAGCCGGTGGCGGGCACGTACAGCAAACAGACGAGTGAATTAAGCTGTTTGCCCAGCAATCATCATCAATGTCCACTCATAACACGGCGATTATGGCGTTAGTACGGCGCAGACAGACTTATGTATCCAGGCTGTAATTACCGCGAATGACGACATCTTGGTGAAATGTCACCCGATTGCATTCTGATACGTACAGATGTACTGTTTCCATTACTGCTTTTTTTTAAAATCACTTATTAATAAACTCTTAATGATAAAATTTAATAAGTCTTCGTAAAAAAAGCGTTTTCTACACTTGTTTAAGAAATAAAAATAAGGAAAAACAATAATAAATTCTTATTCAATTTGTTTGTTATTTATTTTTGATTATTATTTATTCCGCGAAATGTGCTGGTTGGACAGACGACAAAACTGGCTCATTTAGAGAAAGTAAACGTCGCAACAAGTCGAAGGTGTAATTAATGGCAAACTTCAGCGAAAATTCGGCGAAATAAACCGGCAATTTCTGCATGGTTTTTTCAGGGTGTGGATTTCGTACTGACCGTTGCGAGTGGGTGGAGCCACTGCGGATGCGCTGATTGTTTCGAGTGTAATTGATTAGTTTGGCGGGACATTGTGCGCGAATGTGCCTGTCAGCGCTGACGTTCAATTAGACGGCAGCGCGACGCGATCTAGATTATGAGTGTTGATGTATTGTTCCGGGGATGACTTTTCGGGGTGTAAGCGGAGACAGCCGGGGAGCGGGGGATTAATTACTGTGCGCCGGTGATTGATTAGCCTGTGCACTTCCGTGTATTAGTTGGCTGTATTGTCTGTACACTGTCCGGCATTGTCCGCCGGCTTAGCGGGACTCGTTAGGCCGCGGCCGCTAATTAGTCTCTCTCGCTACTGATCCTGCTGCGCCCATCCGCCGTACCTGTGCCTCACTTCGCACCTCATCAATTTACAGCTTGTCGCCGGCTAATTATACACCAACTAAGAAACATCATTTTTCGCAATTATACAGCAAAAGAAATGAAAGCAGAAAGAAAAATAATTTAGAATACTCATGAAAGAAAGCTGAAAAACGAAAATGAGAAGAAAATCAGACAAAGAAAAAAAGAAAATAAAAACAGAAGGGAAAAAAATGGGAAATAAAAAGAACGGATAGACACATAAATATGAAAAAAATGGGAATAAGAAACAGAAAAATGGAAATACGAAAAGAAAACGGGAAAATCAAATAAAATAAAAATAAATGTAAATATTAAAATAGAAAAATACAGCAATAAGATTAAACAAAAGACTAAACTAAAAATAAGAAAATTAGCGAAAAAAGAAAAATAAGAGGAAAAGAAACCCCGAAGTAAAAAAGCTGAAACAAAAATAAAAAAAAGAAAAATAAAAGAAAACCGTTTAAATAATCAAAATAAAATGCAGAAGAAAACTAAGAAAACAAATAAAAATTAAAGCAACCGGAAATTTAAAAGTCAATATTTCCCAGTCAAATTTTCAGTTGTAAGCCAATCTGCGCCCGCAAAAGCTTGTATACTGTAAAAGTCGTACGCATTCCGTAATTAAATTAATCGCTTTTTATTATAAAATATTCAAGTACAATAATCAAATCGAATTGTCCATAAAATACACCGAGAATAATTCTGACGCGAATAAGTCTGAATAATCGTTGCCGGTAGCGGTTTTTATTTACCGACATCTGGTCGGAATACTGCGCAAATATTGACCACAACTTGCCGAATAAATATCCCGGTATTTATGTTTAGTGACCAACCGATGCGGAATTATTTCCCATCAATAAATAAAAATGCCCGGACGCATGGAAATAATCCAGGCATTTATCCGAGTAGTGTATGGTCAGCGCAGCGAACATTTTCGAACACGCCGGACCACACACGCCGCAGCCGGCATATTGTGGCTGCTTCGTCCATCACTGGCGACTGTATATTGCCCAGCGGAGCGTCCCCGCGTCCAGCACACGTTATATGCGTTAACAAAGCAAAATAATTCATTCATCACGGGTAACAATGCGCCGTCAACGTGTGCTGGCCGGCCGCGCAGCGATAAATTAGCCCGGCCGAGTGACGACGCATTCCGCATATATGCGGATATACAGGGAAATTTAAATAGAACAATATGCGATTATGCATGTTGACAAGCCCGTTGGTGGCCAATTTAGACGCTGCATGCAGCCCGATATATCGCCGGTGATGACAGCCACGTTGATTATGATATACTAGGCGCATTTACGTGATTGATGCCGATTCGGCCCGATCAGCATATCAAGTCGATGATTTTTAAATTATTTAAAATTTTCAAAGGTTTAAAAATTATTTTTCCTACAAATAATTCAAAGAAAATTTTCTGGATCTTTTTTACGTCGGTTTGAATTATGGAAAATTAGATTTATCCTAAAAATAAATAACAGAAAATTGTCCCCGATTTTTCAACCTCATTTAAATGATGTAAAAGTATTTTTCTGTTGAAAATAATTAAAAGAAAATTGTCCGGATTTTTTATATCATTTAAGTGCTCTATACATAGATTCTTTATACAATAATTCACAGAAAATGGTCTGGACTTTTCTACATCATTTGAATGGTTTAAAAAAATAGACCGTATTTCTCGTAAAAATATTTTAAAGAAAATTGTCCGGGTTTTTTATATTATTTAAATAAAAAAAATTTATCCCTAAAATCGAATCAAATAAATCTACGGTTTTCATTTTTGTGGGGGAAAATGGAGGGTATCAGTGTGTGCCGGCGACTGCAGCAATCAATGGCCGTCTGCCTGTATAATATAAACCGATGAAAATTAGGCTGTGTCGCCGGTGCAATTGCTTTCCATTGGCCGTTTGCATCGTGTGTGGTCTGTTTTCATTGCTAATGCTACTCCGTGTCGCGCCCCATCCACCGTGTTTTTAATGTGCGAGAAATTGTTTTCAACTGCTTCCATTAACGTACAGCCCAGGGGAGCGTCATAATAAAATACGACTATAGTAGAAAAATTGGGAATTTTTTATTGAAAATAAACTGGATGCAAATTCTCGGAACAATAAAATTTTATTTCTTTTACAGCGCATATAAATTCATCAATTTATTTCAACTTATTCCAGAACACCAAGAGTTTTTCCATGAATCTAACTATTTTATAAAACGCGTAAAATAAAAGTGCCACCATTTTTTCCTTGTTTGTTATAATTAGATCCAATTACTGTATTTTGTAGATTTATTTACATTAAGCCAGAAATACAATTTCTAATGACCGTATTTTTCCTGATTATTAATGATAAAAGTTTCAGTTCTTTTTTTCCAATTCTGGAACAATTAATCCTCAGTAATCCGGAAAAAAAATTATAAAGCCACTATTTTTCATTAATAAAATTTTTCTAAAAATTTCGAAATATTGTAACGTATTTTTCGTGATTATTGATGATAAGATTTTCAGTTCTTTTATAAATAACTATCTTCGACAAACGGGGGAATAAAATTTCTCATGTTACTTGTTAGCATCTTTCCTGAATTTTCCACTTTTTAAAAGTACATAATTAATCCAGAATAATCCGGAAAAATTCCAAAGTCGGTATTTTTTATTAATAAAAATTTACAAAATGTCGAAATATTGTAAAATACGAATACGGCATTTTGCCTGATTTTTCGGTGAGCAGGGAATGATGCGCACATGTGCAAATCCGCGCCACTGACCACACACGACGCGTGCCAGCCAGTCACGATAACGCCAACGTTGCAGCGCGGGCGGAATAATTCATGGAATGCCGTGGCAGTGCCGGCGATAATGTTAAAATTGTGGACGGGAGGCGGCGCGGGACTAGCATAATAAACACTGATTCACACTGTTGGAAAACTTTGCAACGTGGCATAATGCGCAAGGCGGAGATTCCGTGTTTTGGGAAGCCGGCAACCCGGCGCGGCCACCAGCGGCGGGTCAACGCCGAGGTCACCACGTCCACCAGTTCAACGCAACGGCGACAAACAACCGCCGCTGCGTTGAACTCATTTTCTTATAATTTTACTGTATTTTTCTGTTTATATGTATTTCTATTTCCTCCGCTCATTTTTATATGTATTGAGTGTTTATTTCCTTTGTAACCGAATTTATTCAACCGCATTCATAATCACTGAACATATTTAATGATTTATTGAATGGATTTTCTGTTTACTGAATCTGACATTACTGAACCAGATTTTCAATGTGCTGAATTAAGTATAATTTTCTATTTAACACGGTAATACTTGATAACGGAAGTTTCTGATCAATTTTACTACTCTAATTTTGTTACTGAATGAATTTAAATAAGTACGCACTTCGCTACTCGAGTATTTGGTAAATTTTTACTGCATTTACTCATTTTCCAAAGTATATATGCAGTTTCCTTTTTCTCTATTTGCCGAATTTAATTTTTATTTACGGCATATATTCTACGTTTACGAGTTGAACTTTTCTACTTACTGAAATCTGTTTCCTATTTACAAAACTCATGTTTCTTCTGGCTAGATCGCTGCGATTATCCGTGCGGTAGAAACGCGCTTATCGGTCATTACGGAAGTGGTTGGAAAAATTCAGTTTTAACCACATCTTTCATTAATTCTATTTATTCCTGATATATTTTTGAACATTCTCAGCGGCGAAACATTTGTTTTCGGTTAGAAAAATGGCTTCATATAATGTGTAAAAAATATAATGCGCACTACAGATACCACATAAAGCGATATGGGATTTTTCTTAAATTTATTTCGGCGTTAAATTACCTAAGAAAACTTAGTACCGACAGATCAGCTTCACGGCGGGCGCTGTAATATTCTTCCTCAGCAAATGGACGAAGAAAACTTGGTTAAGACACGCAGCACCGGAAGAGGCATTCTGCAGAAAAAGGCGAAACGATGCGGACAGTTCAACAGGTCAGGAAAAAAATCACGGAAGACAGTTTGGTCCGCTGTTGTTTTCACAGTTCTTCGTCGTCGGGATGGTAGAGCTCCGTCAGCAGCCGGTACACGTACGACGGCGCATTGCCTCCGCTGTTTAACAACGCCATTATGCATATTTAATTTTTCGGAGATTTTGAATATACAGGGGTGCCGCGCCAAGTTCGGACAGTTGTATAAAATGAATTTTAAAATAGTTGTATTGATAGTTTTGCTTTTACTTTCTTAACATTGTTTGTGTAACTTTTTATTACGAATCTAGAACTGTCAAAACCAGTACGTTCTGAAATGCCAGTAGCGAGCCAAGCAGGGATTTAGGGGATGGGGTGGTGGTCGGATTTTGGGCGCTTATATCTGTCCCTCTAAACAATTCACCGACAGATATTGTTTCGTGGGTGTTTTGCAGACTATTAAGGGAACCAAAAGGTGTTCGTTACAAGTTGGCAAAAAATCGTGCTCCACCCGTGCCCGCGGTAGCCACGAAATAAGGTGTCTTTCCCATAGACTTGTATGTTACAACGCTCCTTAGGAACAATAGGGTTGCCCAGCGCACATGATGTGGAAACCTCGAATTAATATTTTCCATGCATGACGCATGGATAACATCATACAAATTTGACGTTTTGACTGAAATCAATTGCGCAAGCGGGGAGGTGGTTGAGCCGAACAAGTGGAACAAAAAAACGTCAAAGCTGGAGATTAAAAAAGTTGTAGCTGTTGTTTGAACTACTGGGAACGGAATATCCCGGGCCTGTTGTGAGGATAAAAGAACTCAAATTGACGTTCAGGGTTTCTAGAACAAGATTTTTCCAAAAACATTCACATAAGGCACCCTGCGACTGTACGGCGAGCAAGGCAGAGGAGGTCACCCTCCAGTTTTCGGGTGTCTGCAGTCAGACTGCAAAGGTCACGAACGCCTGATTGAAATCGTCTGGAAGATAGACTGATTTGCAGAAGGACTTAATGACAAACAGTTTAGAGCTATTGCTTTTAGACTACAACATCGACAGAATTTGTTAGCAAATTTTTAAAGGGGCAGAAACAAACAAGTTCGATGGGTCGAACCACTTTTTTCAGGTGGTCTGTTCTAGTTTTTCTTCTACTATAATCCAAAGCACGTTCTCAGTAGGGAAACCTGGAGTGCAAAAGATGTTGGACACACGCAGGGATCATATTAGCATTTGATAAGTTTTTGTTTGGTGGTGGATGATTTATGGGAAATTTTTAGAAAAACTGTCCGAACTTGGCGCGGCACCCCTGTAATATATTATTTTCTGCTGGTATAAAAGACAATAATCTACACATTTATTTTATATTTTCTGACACTTTCAAATAATATTTTTATATGGCCAACATTTTTTAAATTCTCCAAGATATATTTTGTCATACACCATTTTCTTTATGAAAACCAGTTGTACAGTAGATACGTTTCTTATATCCATTTTTTGGACATTTTCTACTCGTATATTTCATCTCTTAAATATTATTTCTTATCGCCCGTTTTAGTAGTGTTTCTACAACACAATATCAAATATTCTTATTAGAATTTCTCGTTGTTTATTTGATTCTTAAATTTGTTTAATTAATTACAGTTAATTATTGTTTAATTAATTTTAGTTATTAACTTTATTCTTAATTTCTTTTAAATATTTTTACGGGTAGATTTGACTGACATGTTGGAGATGAAGAGCGTGACGAGCTCGGGTGGGACGTAGTCGAAGACGGGATTGACCAGGTGGACGGCGGAGAGGATCTCGCCCTCGGAATAGCTCAGCACATCCTCCGGCGTGACGAATTTATTAAAGGCATCCTGCAGCATTCATTGGCTATTTAATCAACATTATTTTCTGAATTAAAAATCACGGGAATTCTCTTTATACTCGTGGGCATTTTTCGCGTTATTTATTTCATGAAAATAATAATGAGAAGAATAAAATATTCAAGATTACATATCCGGCAAGCGGTAGCAGTGTATTTAACTAATCCCTGTTTTCGATATTAATCCGAAAATCAGTTCTGGCGATTTTCTACTTATCACACATCTCTTCCGCTAATTATTATTATTTTTTGCATTAATTATCAGCAATGTTTATAGTTATTTTTTTAAATGTTATGCAATTTTTTGTGAATTTTTATCCCGTAATCAGTTGAATTAATTTAACCCATTTGCGAACACAACTTGCAGAATTTGTAAAACGAAGGAAATCTACAAATAAAAAGCATAATTTACCTGATCATACGTGCAGAGATACTGCGGCGCCAACTTGAACATGGCCGCGCACACCACCAACTGCAAACAATCCCAATTAATCACACCGGAAACAAGCGTCAAGGGAAACGTCCATACCGGGACGGAATAGTGTTTGGCGGCCAAGGCGATCGTGTGGCTACCGCTGACGGCCTTCAGTCTGCAATTCAGCCCCCAAAGTTAACAAATTTCTTTAAAATTCACAACTTATCTTGGAGAATTTCTCAAAAATTAATTCTTTTCATTTTTAATTTCCTTATTTTCTTAAAACAAAATTTAAATCAAATTTATCACAATTATTTCCCTCGGGAACACGAATACTGTGCGGAATATGTATTGTAAAACCATCCGAAAAATGTAAAAATTATTGTAAAAATTATATAAAATTTATCTTTAAAATTTATTGAACAAATATTCACTGCAACGAACTGTTTGGTCGTTTTTATTTGGAAATTCATTGTATTTGGTGTGAGAGAAAATGAGATAACATACCCGCCGTTGGCGAGGACGGTGTGGGTGCCGATGATGACCTTGTTGACGCGGGACATCATGGCGAAGACGGCCGAGTCGGTGATGATGGTGGTGGGGATGGGCGGGGTGTGCTCGGCCAGGCGTTTGGCCATTAAATGCCCGTGGAAGAACGGCGCCGCCTCCGCCACGATCACGTGGAATTTCCGCTTCTTCGCCGCATGCTACCGCCGGAGAACAACATTCTTCGTGCTCGGAAATGCAGCAGTGTGTTGAGAGGACAACAGACCTTGAGAAATTCCTCCACGGTCCGCGATTTGCCGATGGTGAGGATGACTTCGTTGGAGTGGATGTGCTCCAGCGCCTGCGTCGCGATACAGTCCACGCTGTCGCCACAAACAACAACAACAAATCGGCTGATTTATACACGAAATCCCCAATGAGCAATTCTTAAACAAATCCAAGATTCAAGCAAATTTTTCTTTTTACAATTTACTTGCTTTTTATTACCACCATCGTTTCAGAACATTTGACAACCTGATACTCTCGCTAATCCGTTTACATTAAAGGAAGTGGACCGGTAAATGGTACCGCATTCGTGTACATGCACGGAAACTAACACTTCCGCGCATTCCCAAACACTTTTTTTGTTCTGACATTCATGACATTCTGTAGCCATTAGATTTGTATACACTGGCGTGAAAACCGTTTGTTCGCGCAACATCCGGTTGGGAAATATTATCGGTGAAAAAACTTCCAAAAGTTTAAATGCCTTCAGGTGTACCAAAAGTCTCATTATGGGCCAATTTTGCACGTAAATGCATATACCGTATTTATCGAATTAGAAGCCCAGGGTTACAAATATTACAAATGACCCACGGGGTGGGCTCCAATTACGGGCATGGGCTTGTATTTAGGGGCTTCAATTTTCAAACCAGCTTTTGGCATTTTTAATATGGGCTTTACGGTATTTAATTAAGCCCATGGGCCTCTATTTCGGGGGGGGGGGCTTCAATTTTTCAAACCAGCTTTTTGGCATTTTTAATATGGGCTTTACGGTATTTAATTGGCCCATGGGCCTCTATTTCGGGGGGGGGGGGCTTCAATTTTTCAAACCAGCTTTTTGGCATTTTTTAATATGGGCTTTACGGTATTTAATTAAGCCCATGGGCCTCTATTTCGGGGGGGGGGGCTTCAATTTTCAAACCAGCTTTTGGCATTTTTTAATATGGGCTTTACGGTATTTAATTAAGCCCATGGGCCTCTATTTCGGGGGGGGGGCTTCAATTTTTCAAACCAGCTTTTTGGCATTTTTTAATATGGGCTTTACCGTATTTAATTAAGCCCATGGGCCTCTATTTCGATTAATTTTCAAACCAGCTTTTGGCATTTTTAATATGGGCTTTACCGTATTTAATTAAGCCCATGGGCCTCTATTTCGGGGGGGGGGCTTCAATTTTTCAAACCAGCTTTTTGGCATTTTTTAATATGGGCTTTACCGTATTTAATTAAGCCCATGGGCCTCTATTTCGGGGGGGGGGGGGCTTCAATTTTCAAACCAGCTTTTTGGCATTTTTTAATATGGGCTTTACCGTATTTAATTAAGCCCATGGGCCTCTATTTCGGGGGGGGGGGCTTCAATTTTTCAAACCAGCTTTTTGGCATTTTTTAATATGGGCTTTACCGTATTTAATTAAGCCCATGGGCCTCTATTTCGGGGGGGGGGGCTTCAATTTTCAAACCAGCTTTTTGGCATTTTTTAATATGGGCTTTACCGTATTTAATTAAGCCCATGGGCCTCTATTTCGGGGGGGGGGGGGCTTATAACTTTCAAACGACCTTAGGGGTGGGCTCTAATTACGGGGGGCTTGTATTTTGGGGGGGCTTCAAATTCGATAATTACGGTAACCACGTTTTCACACCGACCCACTGTTCTAGCATGTTTCAAAATTCTAAAATGAATTTCAAAAATTTTAAAACTTATTTTAAAATTTGAAAAAAAATCATGGAAATCTGGATCGGTGTAAAAACGATCTTCACGGCCGTGTGCATTTACATGCAAAGTTTGAAGGAGATCGGTCCCTAATGAGACTTTTGGTACACCTGAACGCATTTAAACTTTTTGAAATTTTCTAACAGCCATAACTCCCGACCTGGATGTTGCGCGCATAAACGGTTTTCACGCCCATGTATACAGCTCATCTGGCTACAGAATGTCATAAATCGAAACAAAAATGTGTTTGGGAGTGCGCTAACGTGTAAGCTTCCGTGCATGTACACGAATTCGGTATCATGCACCGGCCTACTTCCCTTAAATCGCTTACTACATTACTCGTATTATTACAATTTATTTCAAAAAACCTAACCAATTTATTCCCATTTTTATTACGCTGTAATAAATTTACTACAATTGACTGCCTGCAGAAATTTTATGGACGTTTTTTTTGCTTATTGTGCAGTTTTTCTGACCTGGTATCCAGTTCCGATAGGAATTCATTGTATGCTTCGATAATCTGAGTCTGTCCAATAAATCAGTGCCGTTCAGATTTCAAAACGTCAACACATGTCGGCAAAACTGTTTTCACCTTCAGTCCGTCAATCTTGCTGGAGAAATCGTCCATTCGGTGGCCGGAAATGAAGAGATTCTACACAAGACATTTTGCTCACGATGACACCGAGATAATCCGTTAAATTATACTATTATGACTACTACGAGGACTTTATCTATTTTTGTTATATTATTATTTATTGTTAATAGCAGTTAATTTATTTTTATTTATTTTCCCAACGAACGGCAACGTACGTGCAGGGATTCCCCGAACTCGGCGTCCTCCGTGGTGCCGCGGTCGGCCGCCTCCCCCGCCACCACCGCCGCGCCCTCGCCGCCGGCGGTGCCGTTACGCAGGGCGGTCGCTTGTGCGGCGCTATCGAAAACCAGGAAAAATTCCCCGCACGTTCAATAAATGCCAGGAACGTATGGCTTACTTGATGTACTCTTCCCGGATGATTTTCAAGGCTAGAAAAAAAACCCATCCATTGATAGTCACCTCCGTTCCCGACGGAAATAAAATTTAACAAAAATAAACAGATAACTTCCATCAACAAATAACCTACTTTTAATCATAATTAAGCAAATTATTAAATTAGTAGTATTTCTTGAAATATAAATGTAACTTAATATTATATGTAACCCAAATTCTTCGGTAACTCATAAACGATAAACGAAACACATAAATAAATAAGCGCATAAAACAAGTAGCCAATTCTTAAATAACCACCATGATCAAGCGTAATAATAAATATTTCCCGGTAATTTATTAAATTAATTATTTCAATTAACCACGGGGATATCTTTGAACATAAATAAATTACAATTAATTATTATGAACAGAAAAAAAAAACAGAAAATAAACAACATAATTCAAAATAACCAAAACCGAAGCTACTTTGTGGTAGAAAAATTATAAAATAATTGCACCGATTAACAACAGAAGAAGAAAAATGTATTAATATTTTTAATAAAACAACGCTTACTGCGTCGGACCACGTTGCCGATGACGGTCTCCGGAGGGCATGGTCTTGATGATGCGACGGCCTTCGCGGCGAATGACGTGCATTAGCTCCCTTAAACAAAAGCTAACCATCGTAATGAGCGACTTCCAGCACAGGCCTTATTTGTTTTCACCTGGCGTTGTTCCAGCGCACGGTGGCGACGATTTTCCGGAAGATCAACGCGGCTTCTTGAGCCGTCGCGTACGAACCGTATCGCTGACTGAAAAATACCAATTAAATCCTAACTGAAATCCGCACGAAGCCAAGCTACCGTAAATAATTATTCTAAAAATTTCCGCAAATGCTACAATATTTATAAAATAAAAACTGAGGCACATTCTGAGTAATTCCCGAAATATTCCTCTATTTAATTCTAATTTACCACCTTTTTATAAATAAACATAAGAAAATAAATTAAAAATAAAAGTCATTTAAAAAATTTAAAAATAAAAATTTAAAAATAAAAAGAATACTACAAATAAATATCAGGAAATTAAAAGGTGGAAATAAAAAAAAGAAGAAAAAAGTAAAAAACTCCATATTCGAATTCGGATCAAATTCCGTTTCGTTGCGAATCTGTGTTCAACGTCACGAAAACGCCAATACTGACCTGTATTTCAGCTTGTTGATGAAATTGTCCACGGTTTCCTGCAGCGTTTCGCCCAGCTGCGGGCCATCCGCGGCGGCATATCCCGAGGAACTGGCTGGAGGTCGCGGATGCTGCACGAGCGACGCTGGATACGCGAACGCTGCGTCGGCCATCATTCGCCACACACACTCACTCTCCGCAACGCCAACCGCGAAAATATCCTAGTCTGCAGATGGACGTGTTGTATAACTACAATGGCTCAAGAATAAACGATCAACGCATCATACTTTAAAATTTATTCCAGTATCAAAACCAAATCAAGCAATCAAATTATTTTATGAAAACGCCAGCAATATGTTTTCGTTTTACATCATTCACGTTGATTCACGAAAATGCCGTGCGTTGGTGGAACCAGTTGCTCAATTCCAATTCCACTTCCGTTTCCATTACATCAGCACGGCATCCATCTGCCACTCCAATGGAATTCTTTCAGAATTGGAATATCGCTGATTGGTGCCCATTTCCATTTCCGTTTCCACTGATCAGTACGGTGGTAATCACTAATCACCCAATTCCAAATGGAATTATTTTCTAATGTAATCCGAGCAAAATTTTCCTGTCCGTGTTTTGCCGTTAGCGGTTTGAATTTGTAGTTTGATTTCTTCCTTTCCCGACTTCTCACTGACTTTTACCAAAAACTTTCATCGAAGTTTTGCAAATCTCTGATGGTTAAAAATTCTCCATGGATTTCTGATATTGTTACTGGGGAAGTAAGGTTTGCTCTGTGAGAGAAACGCAGCAGAAACGGCTCTTCAATGACGCCGCTGGCGCGCTGCCTATGTCGTCAGCGCATCCTGCGTCCTTCCCCTTTCCCGGCGCCCCTCGCCACCCGCTCCCTCCACCCCCACCCCCAACCTACCGAACCCCGCCCCGATTATCCCCCACCGTGCCCTACAACCGCTACGGCGCCGCTTTCCGCTCGCACCTGTGCGGGCGCGTCAACCTCACGGATGTGGACGCCCAGCGCAGTATCTCCGTCTGCGGCTGGCTGCACAAGAAGCGCATGGACCACCGTTTCTGGCTGCTGCGCGACTGGAGCGGCACGCTGCAGGTGACGCTGGACGACCGGCAGCGAACGGAGTGGGCGGCGTGGCTGGGGGAGGTGGCGCTGGAGAGTGTGCTGCGCGTCAGCGGGGTGCCGCAACGGCGCCCGCCCGGGCAAGCCAATCCGCGGATGGCCACCGGGCAGCTGGAGCTGCGGGTGGAGCAGATGCAGGTGCTGAATCCGGCCGCGGCACGGCTGCCCTTCACGTGCGCGCAGTGGGAAGCGGCCGAGGCAAGTTGCGGAATTTTCGCGTTTTTTTCATTTTTTTTCGAGTTATTTTTCTTTTATTTTGTAATAAGTAATTTTATATTTTCTTTGTACGGTATTTTCAAATTAGTTTTCTTTGTTTTTATGTTTATTTCATATCCATATTATTTGCATTTATTTTGCATTTGTTTTGATTTAATTTCTACCTGAGCTTTAAATTTATTTCTCATTTTGTATGTATTTGTTCTTCGTTTTATTTGTGTTGATTTTGCGTTTTATTCGATTTATTTGTCATTTTATTTTGCAGTACAGTACTTTGCATTTATTTTGCATTTTTCTGTGTGTGGTTTAAATTTGTGAGCACTGTTTAAATTTGTTATTTGTATTATTTTCGATTTGGTTGAACTTTGTATGAATTTTATTTTTTTTTTGCCATCGAGTTTTTGTTTGTCGAGATTTATTTTAATTCGTTTCTGCAGTATTTTTCTGTTAATTTCATGTTATTTTTAATATAATTAATTTGTGTTTTACCTCTAATTTCATTGTATTGTACTTATTTTCATATTTATGTGCTTTTTTGTGTGTGTGTGAATTTTTTAATGTGTTTATTTTGTATCTGTGTTCATTTTTTATGTGTCGAGTTTTTCATTTGATTTCAATTTATGTTTTATTTAATTCGGCAGCATTTTCCCTAAAACAAATTAATAAATTTTAAAAATTAAACTGAATTTTTGCGCAGGTGGGTGAGCCGGTGCGGATGCAGTACCGCTACCTGGATCTGCGGCGCGCCGTCATGCAGCGCAACCTGCGTCTGCGCTCCTGGCTGCTGCAGCGTATGCGCCGCTTTTTACACGACCACGCCGGCTTCGTCGACGTGGACACGCCCTATTTATTCCGCGCCACGCCCGGCGGCGCCCAGGAATTCCCCGTGGCCAGCCAGCTGCCGGGGAAATTCTACTCCCTGGCGCAGAGTCCGCAGCAGTTCAAGCAGCTCCTCATGGTCGCCGGCGTCGATCGCTACTTCCAGGTGAGGGCCGACATTCACACCATTTTTTGCCGTTTTTTTTGAAGTTAAAAGAAAAATGATTTTATAAAGACTGATAAATTTTTTTAATTAATTTTCCGAATATTTTTAATAAATTTTTTAAAAACTACATTTATTTTTCATCCGTTTCCAACGCTCCAGCACCGTTTGAATCAGGAATCACCTTGATCGGTAACGAAATGGAATTTATTGTTTTTTTGAATATTTTTTTCCTGCTGTTAAATAAAGAAATTAAACGAACTAAGAATTTTTTGCTGCTGTATCGTTATTTCCACATGGTTATGTTCATAAAAAAAATGGGGAAAAATTGCGAAATAAAATGACAGAAAAATCATTGTAGGTAGCGCGCTGCTTCCGCGACGAGAGCAACAACCCGGAGAAGCAGCCCGAGTTCACGCAGCTGGACGTGGAGATGTCGTTCGTGGGGATGGAAGATGTGCTGGCGCTGGTGGAGGATTTATTGCGCTTTTCCTGGCCGGCGCCGGAAATTCTGGCCGAGGCGGCGAATTTCCCCTGGACCGACCGCGATGCGCTGCCACCGCCGGCCTTTCCTTTTCCCAGGTCAGCAAATTTATTTCTCCACTGCAGCAAACCATTTGTCAGAAATTATAGAAGAATTATGGGTAAAAAATGTCAGTTATTACAACTATGGAATATTTATGTGGTGTAGAACAAACATAAGAATTTTTACAAAGGAAAAAATTTGAAATTTCTTTGTAAACAAATTTAAGAAAGAAAATGTAATTTATACAGATAAATATCTGTGAAATTAAAAAAAAAAACGGAGCAAAATCGAAGTTAGCGAAAAATCTACTTCAGAAGAATGTAAGCAAAATCGCCCGCTGCACATATAAAAAATTAATTAATTTAACTCATTTTGTTAAGCGGATGGATTCCATTCAAAATGTTTTTGACTTGCAATTTAGCAAATTGGAATTTTGCTTTTAAAAAAATTCATTTATGCAGAAAAATGCCTGAACAATTTGAATTAAATTAAAATCAAACCAAATAATCTGCATTGAATTTTCCATGGGTTTAAAAATTCTGGAATTTTTTTAAAAAAATGTATAAATTTAGAAAATAAAGTAACATGATTAAAAGAGCAAAAATAAATTGCCTGCATTAATTACAGCGTGTGAATTTTAAAAAGGCGGCTAAATATGGAAAAATAAAATATGGAAAATTCAAAAATTTGGAAAAATACGAAAAAATAAAATGTGGAAAACTTAAAAAATTAAGTAGAGAAAAACTCAAAAATATAATATAGAAAATTCAAATAAAATATGGAAAAATTCCAAAAAATTGTTTAGAATGTCCTACAAGGACGCGATGACCTCCTACGGCACGGATAAACCCGACACCCGCTTCGCCTGGCACATCCGCGACATCACCCCCTGGGCACGCGACTACCGTCTCTTCGGGAACACCCCCCTGCACCCCGGGTCCACCGTCCGCGCCTTCGTCGCCCCGGGCGCCGCGCCCCTCTGCAAAAAGGCTTTTAAGGACGCCCTGGACACCCTCGTGAAACGGGAATACCCCGGGGTGCTGCTCAGCTTCCTCACGCTCAAACCCGACGGCTCGCTGTCCCGGGCGGCCCTCCCGCGGGAGGCGGCGGCCCAGCTGCACTCCCTGGTGGGCGGGATCCAGGGGGAGGATCTGGTGGTCGTTTGCGGTGGACCGGAGGAGCGCTGCTTGAAAGCCCTCGGGCGGTTACGGCTGGAGACGGCGGATTATGTGGAGAAAAACGGGAAGAGTGTCCGGGAGGATGCGTTTAAGTTCCTGTGGGTGGTGGATTTTCCGTTGTTCGCGCGGGCGGAGGAGGGGAGCGGGTGGGAGACGGTGCATCATCCGTTCACGGCGCCGCATCCCGAGGATGCGCATCTCCTGCAGGTGCGTTCCCGAAATTGAGATTTTTAGCGGAATATATTTTAAATTAATTTTTTTTAAATCGTTGTAATTTTTTTAAAATTTTTCTTATATGCGAGCGCTTCCCTGCGTCATTTCGGAAAATATTGTTTGTTGTTTTACTGGATAATTTAGGGGACTAAGTGATAAAATGTATGCATTTGATTTTATATTGATTTAGGAAGTTTTTCGAATATTCTGAATATTGTTTTATTTTTGAGGAATTTTTCTGTATAATTTTTTATTTTCATTTGCTGGTTTGCATGCTGTGTTCCGCCTAGCAAGGAACATTTTTTACTTACCCGTTCCACTGCCGGATTAGAAGAATTCCGTGGTAAAAAGCCCCGCAGGGAATTTAATATTGCTTTTGCAGCAGTTTTTTTTAAATCGCGATTATTTCTAGGAAATTTTCTGTATTATTCAGAATGTGTCCATTAATAATTGTTTTGTTTTTTTTAATTTTGCAAGTTTAATTTTTTATTTGCTGATTTGGAATTTACACCTTGCTTAACAGAAAGGTTATGGTTAATGTATTAAAAACCGGTTTGGACCGGCTGATTAGAATAATCACGGTTGCAAAAATGAACCTAAGAAACCTAAGGAACATTAATTTGTGCTTTCTTCAATAAAAAAATCCGCTTATCGACGGGTTTGTCTTGTAGGCCGGCGGGGATTTAAGCCGGATCCGCGGGCAGCACTACGACCTGGTGCTGAACGGCGCGGAGGTGGCCGGGGGCTCCATCCGGCTGGAGCGGGCCGCCGAGCAGCGCCACGTCCTGCAGCTGCTGCAGATCAACCCGGCGGACGTCGGGCATCTGCTGGCCGGCCTGGACAGCGGCTGCCCGCCCCACGGCGGCATCGCCCTGGGACTGGACCGGTTGGTATGCCTCCTGGCCCGCGCGAAGTCCATCCGCGACGTCATCGCCTTCCCCAAGACCGCGCAGGGCCGGGATCTCATGGCCGAGGCGCCCTGCAGTCTCCCGGGCAAAACCCTGCAGCTGTACCATCTGGCGGTGACGGCCAACACGGCCCCTGACCGCTCCCATGACGGAGGATGACGAATCCAGTTGGACGTTTCGTTTCTTAGTTGACGGTGTTCCAAGCTGTTGTTTTGTTGCGGTTTTCAGGGACTGGTTGACAGAATTGGACGTAAATGGAGACCGAAGATCCGCTGGTCATTGTACAAACGAGTTCTACCAACCCGGAATGCCAGCATTAAATAAAATCGATGTGATGTGTATACGAGTATGGACTATGTACGGCTCACTTAGTTCACAAATAAAACAACAAAATACGGTTGTAAACGGCTATGACAAGAATAGTTCCTCTAATTTCTCCTGATCCGGTATACAGAGTGTATTGTGCCCATCACGTACAGTAGGACCCGTTGTGCCCATTGTGCCCATTCTCGAGGCTTAGACCCGTTGTGAAAAGAAGTGAAATGAAATGGTGAAATAAAGTGAAATGAAATGAAACGTGAAATAAAAAATATACTGTTAGCCGCTAGATGAAATGGCACTACTTTTAGATCCGACCGCTGCCTGCCTCCGGCCGGACAGCGCGCTTTATGCGTCGCACAGAGCGGTGCCTCTTTGAATTTTGTATGGAGATCCGCTGCCGGAAAAAATCTTTCGCGCGTAATCGTCCGGTAGCGGCCGCGATGCCCGCATATGGTGTCCGATTTTATTGACCACCTTCTGAACTCCGTCGCCCCAGGGTCCGTATATTTTAAAAGCCGCGGGGATAAAGTTATACCGTGGCTGAAGCGGCACATGGACAATTTGTTGAACACCGAGACTTTGCTGACGACCTTCTGAATTCTGATGGCCGAAAAAATCAACTCCCGAAGCCCACTAAAAACCCAAGAAAATCTAAGATAACTCAACTTAAGATAACCTAAGATAAGTCCAAGATAACCTATGAAAAACCTAAAAAAACATGAACCTAAGCCTAACGCGACCAAAAAATTCACAACCGAGAATCCAAAAAGAACCCCGGACTTAATAAAACACCAAGAAATCTGACAATGTTAATCATCAACATATGTCGGTCAGCAACATTGTCGTGAAGCATAACGGAGATCCATAAACTGATGTCCTACCGCGTCGGTCTATCCCCTAAAGAGGAAAAGATGGAAATTATGTAAGGGAAATTAGGAAAAGATGGAAAGTAGGTAAGTGCTGCTGTATCGCACAATTCATAGACCAGTTAGTGAGCTGTACCCATGGTACGAATGACGATGCTGATGAAACGCAACAGACTCGCATTCGGATTGTCCAACGGAAACCAACAAGTATATTCAAAACTTCTCCGCATTTTATTCACAATCAATCCAACTTTCCAAGTCTCGCGTTCCGGAAGGAGTATTGCAGTAAATATCTCCCGGTGTTGGCTGCCATGGACAATGCAGGAGAGAGCTGCTGGCCCTGTCATGCAGTATCCACGACAGCCAACAGAGACGCTGGTCTTGGCTGGCGGTCAGCTGCACCGGTTCCGCGTGATCAGCGTGATGACAGTGCGGAGGTCGCGGGTGTAGACGGGGTTCCATGGGGGCTGTCATAAAATTTATCTGACGTCACGAAGAGCGTACGTCACGCTTTTCCAATTCCACAATCCCAATACCATTTCGCAGTGGTACTGGCGCTGGCGCTCGTGCAATTACTATGCGAACCTGTACATCAGGTACCCGGATTTGCACCGTTATCACGATGCAGAAGCGGGGATCCGATGTTAAGGTTCGAAAAGTACATATAGTGAAATCACTCAAAACTCGTGTTTTAAGACGTTATTCGATGCGCTGAGATACGTATGTGAAAACGTTCTGCGTGGGGCCATTGCCATTGGATCGACGCGTCATCGAACTGCGCCTGCATGGGCGTGAAATTTACCATCGCTAAAAATTTGTGATTTACTCCCGAAATTAATTAAGGGATTTGGCCCGGTACATAGTACCAAATTTGTATACATCCACGGCAACTTTCGCTGTCGCGCACTCCCACACACTTTTTTGCATTGCTTTATGATGTTTTATAGCCAAAGGATTCGCATACATAGGCGAATAAACCGTTTGTGCGCGCAACATCCGGTTCGGGAGTTATTAGTGAAACAAAATTCCAAAAGGTTAAACGCACGGAGGTGTACCAAAGTCTCATTATGAACCTATGCTCTTCAAATTTTGCACGGAAACGCACGTTACTATGTATGAAGATCGTTTTCGTACCAAACCAGCTTTCTACCATTTTTTTTTAAATTTTGAATTAATTTTTAAAATTTTTGAAATTTATTTTAAAATTTGAAAAAAATAGTAGAAAGCTGGTTTGGTACCAAAACGATCTTTACAATAATGTGCGTTTTCGTGCAAAATTTGAAGAGCATCGGTTCATAATGAGACTTTTGGTACACCTCCGCGCGTTTAACCTTTTGGAATTTTATTTCATTAACAACTCCCGAACCGGATGTTGCGCGCAAACGGATTTCACGCCTACGTATACAAATCCTTTGGATACAAAATGTCATAGAGCAATGCAAAAAAGTGTTTAGGAGTGCGTGACAGCGAAAGTTCCCGTGTATGTACCCGAATTTGGTACTATGTACCGGGCCAAATCCCTTAAGGAATTAACTATGAAATCGGAATATAATCTGGAAAGTAATCCGGAGAATTGGTGATATACTGTACGAGTACTACTCGTACTAATATCATTTTGAAAGTTAAGACTTTGATTACAGAGTAATTAATAAATTAGAGAACACGCGAAAAGCAATTATAAATGGAGAAAATTAAGAAGATATTAAGAAAAACAGCGGAAAGTTTGGTCATTTAAACGGATAACTATTTGGAACAGGTTCGACGTTATTTTGGAAATTATTTAAAAATACATACAATAAATTAGTTGTTTAGAAAGTACTAGTAACTGGGAAATTAACTTCCGAAGGAATATGTGAAAGGCAGAAGAGACTACGACTAAAGTTCCTTTAGTCGTATTCTCTTAAATATATTTTTTTATTCGGCATGCAGCAGCCACCGCCCATTGGTTCTGTACTGCATATATGTATATCCACAAATACAGGTTCTTCTGTGTTTTTCTTCTTTCTGTTGACCTTTTTCGGCAGCAGCAGTTGAGCAATGTGCAATTGGCAGAAAACATTAAGAACTGCTCACACCATAATAATTCTAATTCCATCCATAGAAACAGCTTGGCACTGAAACTTGCAAAAACAAATTAAACAACATCGCACTTCAGCCGAAGTTTTTCTGCGGCAGAACCACTACATTTGGAACGCACGAAGCAGTACTCTGTAACTTACAGAGTGTAAGCCAAGAGACACTACACAGGGCACTATGCCACATGGAAATCCCCACTGAACCAGCATATACCATAGGCGTATACCGGACATCTATCCCTGCTGTTCGTTTTCAACCAAGTGTGAACCCAGCCACAGTGAAACACCATTGCACCACCACCGAAATATTGCCCATTATATTAGGAGTACATTCATGTGCGAGCCGACATCCCGGTTAAATCTTGTCTGATGCAGATCAAGCAGATTAATGTTTTCTAAGCAGTTTACCATATTATTGTGGCTTATTGCTCGGTCCAGTGACATGCTTACCATGAGCGTAACATTGACGGCAGACCGTTTTCGAAAGCTAGCCAAGCTGTTGTTCCTAATCCAGACTTCAGTTTTGTTCTTATTTACTAACGTACGGAACGATTTAATTAAATTAGACATGCGATCTGGCCCCATGAAGATATGATATTCCCCGATATTTGGTAATCGTAAAAATATCTGCTTCGTGACTGACTTCGCATCTTCCTCCATCCTGCACAGTCTATTTCTCGCTAAAAGCGCTTAATAAGAAGTTCGCGTTCAGATGCTATAAGAGCAATTTTTTAGTTTGCCACACTTCCGTGCCCTGGCGTCGTGGTGCATGTTACATCATGGACTCATGGTTGGCCAATATTCATTATTCACAGTCAGCCACTTTTTACGACAATCCAGCGGTCGGTTGATGTGGCTTTGATACAGCAGGCGGCAGGATAAATTAATCAGCTGCTTGCAAAACGGCATTGGCAGTGCAGTGGAATGAATTCAACTGCAACGGCACGCATTCGGTTGAACAATTGGATCTGTCTCCTGAACCCTTACAAACGTTACAGCACACTTTTATTACAGTTACACTGACGCATACACACAATTGCCCATTAATTTTGCATACTGCAGTGTAAAACGTAAACGGGCCGCACACAAACACACAAGTAGAGGAGTCACATGTCGATACTCGTATGCATGTACGAGTACTCGTATGTACATACACCGTGCCTCGTTTAAAAGATCGGAGCCGCAGATTGGAAATTATTGTAATCCCGGCATTCCTTCAACCAGTGCTGGTACGAATACCTGATGCTGCAAACTGGATCATTGCGGATCATCAGTATGGATTAATCCTTCGCTCCGCAGGATTTCATCCGCTAACCGTCAACAACGTCCACCGTCTGTTGAGTGTCCATCTAAAAGCGTCCATGGAGCCGCTTCTGTTTACTAACAGCACCTTCACCGGAACTGGTCAAGCCAGCGGCAGCTTCACCTCACCGCTGGCTTGACCAGTTCCGGCGAAGGATGAAAGTGGATCGGCCAACGGCTGGATATTACCATGATCAAGAAACAGCTGCCCGGTGACTACAAGCCTGTCGACAAATTGAGCATGTAAAAGTACAGGTGGAGCGATATTAGCGCGAAGTTAGCGCTTGAATAATGGCCACTGCACTACGGTTATCGCACTGCGTAACTACGCTTCCCAGTTAGCTTCTCCCTTACTGCACCCGTGCACCAACCGTTTTCTAGCCAAGGCAGTTACAATTATTCTGACGAGGCGCATACCCCAACTCTTGATTCTCTGATCAACCTGTGCTTGGTGTCGTTAGATTCCTTAGAATTTTAGCAATCTTTTCCAAAAATCAACTTTTCCCCAGCTAAAGAACTGGGATTTAGAGATCTCTGAAAACCCATCGCACACATGATGGCTGACTTTGCAAAGAACGTCAGCAGACGCTGTTCCGACCGCAATACGATCTACGGCGTCCATTTACGGATGCGTGCTTACGCAACCGTCTTTTATGGAGATTACAAACTGCAGTGTTTGTCGATAGCTATCGCACCTTTTTACCCCATTGCGCGCACTAGCAATGACTGGCTGCATCGGCATCAATGCAACCGTGGACGATGGCGCGCGCGATAGGGCAAAAAGCCGAAACATCTATCGAGAAGCGCAATACAGAATCAACAGATTTGTAGCGAGACTAGTCGCAGGTACTGCGCACAAATGCGTATGGCGTATGCT